TTGCAATGGAAGATGAAAAATAGCGGTTTGAGGATTTTCTCAGAATAACAGTAAGCTCTCTTCAAGATTATTTTGGGCTTCGAGGGTTTTCAAAGTCAGGTCGTAAAGCTGAACTCGTTGCTCGAGCCTTTGGTGCTTACAGGTTTAATGTACCGATCAAATTTACACAAGAAAAAACATCCAAAGACCTAAAGAAAGAATACCAACGTCGGCTTCTAAAATTTGATGCTCAGGACCCAAAGACTATCTCAGCTTATAAATGGGAGGAAAATGTTCAGACGTGGCCCGATTTGGATGAAGGAAAGGTTTTCTCAGTCATCCTAAAAAACAAAACAGTCGAGACTGAATATATCAGCAGGTACAAGATGAGAAACCATATAGCTACTTGAAAGTGGATTTGTTGGATGTTTGTATTCTTATTGGTTCCCTGACCAGCGGAACAAGATTTTAATTAAAGGTGACGTGACTCCGTCCACTAAAATACGTGATCAACCCCACAAATGTTGGATTTTGTTTGATAACAACTCCATTTTGAGTACTTGGTGTACATGTGTAGCTGGGACAAACCTGAACTGCAACCACATTCTTGCTGTTTTGTATAAAATCAATTTTGCATACAAGAAAGGATATTCAAACCCTGCATGTACTTCTTTACCTGAAGGCTGGAACCGAGGAACACATAAGCAAGTAGAGCCTAGACGAATATGTGACCTACTTATTCGGAATGACAGTAAACACAAAGAAGACAAGAAGACTAGAACACCCATTAATTCTCAAGCCCAAAGAGAGTTTGATCCTAGGCATCCTGAACAGAGACAAATAACCAATGATCAAGTATCTTTTTTGTATCAGAACATTAAGGCTAACAATCCAAATGCCTGTGTTCTTTACTCATTACATGCATCTGTTACTGAAGAGCTACCACCAAGTTTAAGGGACGCGGCTGGTGACTTCCTCTCTTTGAAAAACAATACCGAGAACTTCACAGATGAACTAGCAAAA